TTTCGCTAATGGTTAATCGATAGACAGGCGAGTTGTGGGCACTATCCTACGGTCGCAGTTCACGTGTAATTGTACGGATTCGAACGATCTGCAGGAAGCAAGAAGTACAATAAAGCTACAATAAAGGTACTCGGCTGGGGGTGCTCTATAGCTGCATGGCAGGGACGGCAGTCGGTAGTTAGACACCTGTTCGCGGCGCAGCAACTACGTACGTACGTACAGACGTGCGCGCGTGTGTACGATCGTTGGGCGCGGGGGAAAATGAGAAAAAGGTAGCGCGCGGCGAGACGAGAGAGACAAGACGCGAGAGAGAGAAACAGAGAGAGAGAAAGAGAGAGCGATCGGGAAAAGGAATTATAACCGGCGGGAACGGAAGGTGCTATTTATTATCAGCCTCGTGGGGGCACAATGGCTCGCGACTGCTGATTGATGTTCTCGCCTTTAGTCACTGTCGGACGCGCGCTATATTTACAACAATCCGCCTAACCCCGTACATCATCGAAGAAAAGCGCCGCCGAGTCACGCGCGCGCGCCTTTTCTCTCTCACACACACATACACACACACTCTCTCTCTCTCTCTCTCGCCCGCGAGACTCAATTATTCCCCATCGCGCTGATTTGCGCTATAAACTTCGGTAATTAAAGTGATAGAATTATTCAACGGTGGCGGTGTAGCCGCGCCCGATATGAATCCGTATTCGGCAGCGAGCTCTACGCTGCTATTTACACAATCGCGAAATGTACGTCCGGCGCGGTGGTACAATTCGCGTTTGTTCACAAAGAGAGCCTATTTTGACGGAACGGGCTACGTGCGGGTAAACGCGCGCGATTGCCGAGTTAATTATTTACGCGGCGAATTTATCGGCGAAAACGTTATGACCGATTGATTGCGCGGCGTTAAAATTCGGAGGGGGCGAGGGGAGGAAACGCGGCAAATCGGATTGACGATAAGATGTAGAATAACGTCAGTGTTTTCTTGACCATACCTGGCATTATTAGCAATACAGAAAATTTGTCGCGACAAATATTACCTCAGCCAGGGTTTGAACCTGGTCCTTCCCTACACTCTTAGGCGGGCGTCTCACCATTTCGGCCACCGAGGCATATGACAATATTTGTCGCAATAACAGTATAAAAGATGTTCACAAAAGTCGAAATAGACGCGTAGACAACAGAGGGTGGGGAGGTCCAGATTCAAACCCTGGCTGAGGTAATATTTGTCGCAATAGATTTTCTGTATTATTAAAAAAGCCAAAGGTATGGTGAAGAAAACACTGACGTTGTTAATTATCGCTGGCGACATTGAAGAATTCTTATAAGATGTAGAATGTCGCGAATCGAGCCGCCAGTGAGTAATCAGCTGAACGAGTCGTCGTCCGACGCAGCCGAGCCCGTTCTACCTAGAATGTGACGTGTGCCACGCACAGGAGCTTACGTGACGAGAATTAGTTATCGCGTGGAAGCAACCAGTGGCGCGGATCCCCCATGCGGTTGTGTCGTAGACCTCCGGTAAACGTTCGCGAAACGCCCCCGAGAAGAGCCCGTGACTCGAGCAGCCGCGTTCGCGTAGCAGAATTTCCTTCTTTTTAGTCGGAGTTAAATCGATTATCGATTTCAAAGTATGGTTTACGAGGGCGGCGTGAAAAGTTTCTTAAGCGACAGCGCGATTTTTCATGTAATTTTGTATTCAGTTTCATCATTTATGAGATTGACGTAAAAATATTACGTCGGTCTGTTGAGCAGAGTAACATTTAATTATGATCTAATTCTTTTTCTTTTTTTTGAAAGGTGAAGTGGCTACGGAGATAAAGTTGGACGAAGTCGTTGGGCATTCCTCGCCTTCACTTTCGTATCTGCCCGTTATTTCGATTCTTGCCATAGAAATGTTAGACGCAACTTCGAGGCGCTGTCAAACACGAACCAACTTGACGGAGCAACTTGAAATTTTCACGTCAATTTTGCAAAGGCCGAGACTGTCCACTAAATTCTAAATTGAGAATCGCGCTAGTTATGCATCAAGGTGCAAATCGGCGCGCAGTTTACCGAGTTGAAAGGAAGTATACGAAATCCGCAGGAAAATAATAAATAACAAAGAACAATATATTCGCGTGGAAAAATTATTATATCGCCAAGATCCAGCCCCCGGGTGAAAGTGCGCGTCTTCTCTAATTAATTGTTAAACCCTTTGTGGATTTCTGCCGGGAAGGGCGCTGGAGCCGAGTCGGAATGCGTCGCGATGAATCAGTGGAGAGCGGCTGGCGCGCACAGAGGAAGCGCGTGACGCACCGTTTGCGCATAATGCACGGCGAAATTGCGGATAACGCAGCGGGACGCGCTTTCCGCGTCGTCACTATCGCGATCGTTTAACTCCCCGAGTCTCGATAACGTAAGCGCGCGCGCTTTATCTCGCGCCCTATCTCGCGAGGCCGCATTATTAATTGCGTGCCGGCGGAGTTGCTCAATTGCCGAGAAATTGTCGGCACAAAGCGATCTCGGGGAGCACCGGGGCGACCGCGTCGCCGACGAAAGAGAGACGCGTGACGCGATTACCGCGTCGGTGACAGCGCCGAGAGCCGGCCGCCTCTCTTTCGCTCTCTCTCTCTCGTCGTCGAATGGGCAACACGTTCTGCGCGATTGACCGAGCCCTGAGCGCGTAATAATAGAACGCAAACTGTGCACCGTGTTTGCCGTGGCCGGTGATCGTTCAGGATCACGCGAGCGCACGCCTCGATCTGTCACGGTGACAGACGAGTTCCTTGACGATTCCACGTCCTTCTTGTATCGTCCAGACACGAGCGAGAGAGCATTTCCCTTTTAAAATTATCGTCCATTCTCGCGGTCGTGACGTACGTACGTGTTTCTCTCCGAGCGCAACGATCGCCCATGCTGCTCCGAAAAGTCGAGGGACTTTCTCTTAACCCTCTTACGATCACTGAGCATGTAAGTTTCGCGAAAAAAACGACTCAATGATTTAGCATGCGTTCACCGGAGAAACGTTGTATCAGCGAAAACTAAAAAAACCCCCCCAAAAAAGTAACTCGGTCACGAAAGGATTAAGGAGATAGGGATCCAATTGAACATCTTTCTTTTTATACGGTGTGACTCGTCAAATAATTTATGTTGAGTCCCAAGTCTCTTTATCTTGTCGCTAATAAATGTATCATTAGTCCGAGAAAGAATAATATGGAGATATAAACGTACGCCGAAAGGACGACTAGGTGGTCTCCTTTTAGTTTTCTTGTCAATACCAAGACACATCTGTTCCATATTACTTTGTAAGGCAATTAGATCGAATAGCCAACCGTTTTATTCAGTACATACACTACAATCATGTTGTCGTATTGCAAATCGCAAGGATTTATATACGTGTACCTCTTTGCGGCAAGCTGGTGCACAAGTCTCCGTTTATTCGCGAAGCATATTTAATTAAATTTAATTGAACAAGCAATCAATTAGACAATTAGGCTTCCGCCTGACATAACAAAGTGCATTAAAATGAAAAGAAGAAACACCGTCATGTGCGGGTACTTGTTACAACTCCAAATGCAAAGGAATACTGTCGTTCATAAACAATTGGAGAAAGGAGCATTCGCGTTTAGTGTCTCACGCTTCTGCGACAAACTGTAAAATTCTCCATTTGTTCGCAAAGCACTTTTAATTAGATGCTTGTGCAAGCAATCAATTAGAAAATTAGGCTTCCAAGCTGAATACGTTCGACACTACAATGTATATTAAAAGAAACGCTTTCATATGCGGGGATTATTATAGCTTCAAGTGCAAGGGATCGTTCCTAAACAATTGAGGAAAGGAGCATTCGCGTTTAGCGCTTCTACGACAAACTGTAAAATTCTCCATTTGTTCGCAAAGCACATTTAATCAGATGCTTGTGCAAGCAGTCAATCAGAAAATTAGGGTTCCAAGTTAAATACATTCGACACAACGATGTGTATTTAAAAGAAACGCTCACATATGCGGGGATTAGTGAGGCTTCAGGTGCAAGGGATCGTTCCTAAACAATTGAGGAAAGGAGCATTCGCGTTTAGCGACTCATGATATGCTTCTGTGATAAACTATCGTAGAATTTTCCACTTGTTCGCAAAGCATATGCAATTAAATGCTTGCGTGAGTAATCACTTAGAAAGTTAGGCTTTCGCTCGACGCAACAATGTATGTTAATTGTAAAATTAAAATGAGACGAAGAACACTAATGTGCGGGGATTATTATTATTGCTCCAAGTCCAAAGGATCAGTTTCGTTCATAAACAATAGAGGAAAGGAGCACTCATGATATGCTCCCGCGACAAACTATTGTAAAATCTTCGTACGCGAAGCATATGCAATTAAATGCTTGTATAAATAATCAATTAGAAAGTTAGGCTTCCGCTCGACGCAGCAATACACGACAACTTAAAATGAGAAGAAGAAACGCTGTCATGCGCGGGGATTATTATAGCTTCAGGTGCAAAGGATCGTTCCTAAACAATTGACCAACTGAGCATTCACGTTTAACGATTCACGATACACTTCTGCGACAAACTACTGTAGAATCTTCGTACACGAAGCATATGCAATTAAATGCTTGTGTAAATAATCAATTAGAAAGTTAGGCTCCCGCTCGACGCAACAATGTATATTAAATGAAAATTAGAAGAAATGCTGTCATGCGCGGGGATTATTGTAGCTTCAAGTGCAAGGGACCGTTCCTAGACAATTGAGCAACGGAGCATTCACGTTCAACGACTCGCGATACGCTCCTGCGACAAACTACAAACCGTAAAACTGTTCGTTTCATCGCGAAGCATATCCGATTGAAATGCCTGTGCAAGTAATCAATTACAAGATTAGGCTTCCAGGTTGAATTCGCCCGGCGCAATGTATCGTACATATAAAATTAACACGAGAGGAAGAAGCACGCTCTCTCGTACGCAAGGTTTATCGTACTAGCTCCAAGTGCAATGGAGCAGGTGTCGTCGCTAACAATTGAGGGAAGCAGCACTCACGTTTGGTGACAGTCGCGTACGTCGCAAGCTCTCCGTATTATCGTGCCGCAGTGCCCACCGGTGATCTTCCCTCCTCCTGCCCACTCGCACTGCCACCCCGCGACTCCGCGGCCGTCCGATTATCGTGATCGTAACACACAGAGTCCCGTCATTTCACCGTGCAAACACCACACTCTTTCGCGTACGCGCGCGTCAACGAAGGGGGGGGGGGGGGAGCGAAGAGAATCGCGCGGGACGCCGCGTAACTCTCTCGCGCGCGGCGCGGCGCGTGTGCCTCTTTTCGCGCGTCGCGTCGCGGACGCTCGAGCCCCGGGTACGGGCGGACCGACGGAGAGCAGTGCGTACCCCTCGCGACCCCGTGACGGACTGAGGATCTCGCCGACGGTGCAGCGCCGCCGTGACCCGTGGCGACACCGCCAACTAAATCCGCGCCCGCACATACGCGCGCCGCGAGTATCGCGCTCCGCTCCGCGCGATCCGCTCTCACTCTCTCTCTCTCTCCCTCCCTTTCTCTCTCGCCAATTTTAACCCTTCGTGCACTCGGCGACTCGTTCTAGGTGCTCGTCCCGGACGCTTTTCATCCCCTCGAATTTTGGATTTGCGAACGGGGGGCTAAATACAGCGAATCCTCGGCGAATCTTGCTTACCGCGCGCTCGCCGTCTCGGTTCTGGGGCTCGGTTCTTGGATTCATTCGAAGGGGAAACGTACGCGAGAGTAGGGCTCTTGCGGAAAAGTTACAAGTCGATTGGGGCCGTTCGCACGGTTTTTAGCCAATCGACTCCCAACGATCGTCTGCGAGAGCCGGGAATTTCTCGTACGCTTCTCTCTCGTGCGAGTTGAAGAATCGAGCCCCTGGACGCGCCGAGGCGCGCGCTCCTCGCAATTTGGTCGAGGGAAAAACGCGGGGACTCGATATTTGGACAAAACGAAAGAGATGAAACGGATATAATGCGGCAATTTTTTTTTCAGCTGCAGAGCGCGGAACGCGGAGTAATCGAGTTTTTGCAACCGTCGAACCGGCGTAGTTTTTGCATTGTTTCTGCTCCCTGTTACCGAGACCGTAAATATACTAGTCGGCAGAGTGAATATGAATACGACTTCATTACCGTAGTTATGTGTACACTTTGCAAAATGAATAAAATGTTTCAGCAGCGGAGCGATATTACGAGACAGACTCCGCTGGTAATTAATACATAAAATTTACATGCACTATAAATAAGCGATGCGGCAGTATGCCCGTACGAAGTGGCGGGCCAAAGTTATCGGGGAGGAAGGAGAAATGTAATTTTTTTTCCCCCTGCTAATTTTACAACTCTAATTTTGCAACTTTAATTCGCGCGAGCGGCTCTTTCTCCTCCGCGCCGACTGCGCGGCAATACTATCGCCGTTCCGAAAGGCTTTACGAGGAGGATACGACAGTATCGCGGGGGAGTATCGTATGCCTCGACTAATTTTAATTGAACGGAACTTTAACTCTAAACGCTCTAGCGAGCAGGTTACTCCGAGGTGAATATTAAGAAAAGCGGCGGGCGGGAGAGGAGGAGCCGGGGCGTCGCGAATTAATTTTTTCCCAAGAAACAATCGTCCTTAAATTACTCGGGACACCGGCGCGGCGTGTCTCCGGACGGCGGCAAGTGCGGAGGAGACCGGGGGAGGGGGAGGGAGGCGACCATTTTGCATAATACATATGTCACAGGCGTTAAAACTTGGCTATTTTCCATCGTGCTCTCTAATGTTTCCCGCGTCTCGCCGCAAGACGTTGGCGGTTTTGGTCTCGCGTTGCTCTTTCCCACAGGGTTTTACGGGCCACGGCCGCGGGGAGCGAGGAGGTCCGACGCGGTTCGTCTCGTTCGACGAGCGGCGAACGTCGACGCCGGTGGATCCGAGCGGGACGGAGGACACGCCGCCGCTCCGAAATATATCGTTGCGGTAGGTCGCGCTAGGGAGATCGTCGTGGCGCCCGTGTAACGAAAGACGCAATTATCGGTTAGCGTGGCGCCCCGACACGCCGCCTCTCGCCTCGGTTGCTCACGCCATTTACCGTATTGCTTGTACATTACCGCTTTTCTTCGCCGCGCGGCCTCGCCGCGCCTGGACGTTAACGGGACGCCGGAGTAATTGTGCACCTCTTGCACTTTCCGCGTCTAGAACTGTCAATTCGTGGAAACATCTGCGTCAAGGGGGTAACCGCTAGGCTAAAGTGTTGTCCCACCGATTACGTGATTAATTTGATTTCATCTGATTGCAAATAATCTCATCTAATTGCGAATAATTTTCTCTTAATACGCACGTTTAAAAATTTATGACGTTGTTAGATCTCAAAGGGCTGTTAGATTTCCTCAAAATACACTTTTCTTATTTTACTAAGAAGTATTTACTTGTAAAAGTAATTTCAGTTAAGATCGTAGTTCGGTTAGGTAGAAAGTGTTTCCTTGCTTTCCCACTTTTCCCACTAGTTTAACCGCGGTTTTAATTAAACGTAATTTTGTATTTGTACTGTTTATTGTTCCAAATTTGCGCGCAAAGGTATATCAACGTTTCAACTCGCTGTTGCTCCAATAGCAACTACTTCAGTCTTATTATGCAAAGAATACGCGCTTATGACATATATTTGGATATTCATTAAAAGAAGTAAATTTTGGTGTATGTTACAATACACAAAAATTTTCAATAATTGGAGCACAATTGCAACAGCATATTCCTGACCAAATCAAGTAAAAAAAGTCCTGTACTACTTTTCCCTCCGGCAAACAGTTATCGAGATATCATAAGCTAAACATTGAAAAAGTTATCAATTTTCTCTTGAATATCTGAAAAAGTATTAAGCAACTCGAAAAATGTTTCAGATAAAAGTTCTTCATAATAATTAGTAGAATAAGATAGTATAATAAACAATAGGGGGTTTTATTTAAAAAATTGAAAGTGACCTTTACGTAATCTTCAAGCAACTATTCAAGATCAAATTAATGACGCCGCCTTATGTCCCCCTCGAAACCCAACAACTTTTGCCCAGGTCATTTGTTGCTAGCCCCCTTTCCCGAAGAGTTATTTGCGTGCGTCGATTAAAATGACTCGCCCTGAATATAGACACAATTACTTTCTAGATGAGCCGAAGACTTAGAAAATAGACAAATGTTAAGTTAAGTTGCTCTGTTCGCCCCCTCCCCCCAGAACGTCTCCTGATTCGCCTATGGTTCAAAGAGTTAATAAATATTGGCTGTTATTAGCAACGATGTTAGCTACTTACTTCAAAGACGCATCTCATCAGTTTCCATATGGTGTAATCAACCAATTTCTCGCTAATAAAACTTACTTGGCGCACGCGCCGTCAAGGTGTATTATATTCTACGGCTGTTTATCAAGCACGCGATCTATCTTTCCCTCGAAATGACCCAGATTTTCGGGGTCGTCTCCGATGTCCCCCTCGCTTTTTCAAACCACAAATCTCTCGTATCCGCGGATGTGGACACATGGTGTAATTTAGCTCTCCGATTTGGGTCGACGTCCATTGCGCCGTGGTACTAAACGCTGGTCGGAAACATCGGCGAGCATTGTGGCGATACGACCGAGAACAATATCGCGTGTCCATGAATCAAGCAATACCCTCCGTACGAGACGTCGATCCGCCGTAGCTGGTGCACGATAACGTCAGCCGATAGCGCGGAATCGGTCGGCCGAATCAATCAGCAGATATATCTCGCGAGCCGCAAAGGGCCCGTCTAGAACGCAGTTGAGGTCGCGGATGTAGGACGCGACGGGGGCGACTCGTTTCACTTCGGGATGCTGCGCGCGTAAGGGGGTGGGCTCGACGCGATCTGCCGCGACTCGGGTTCCTTGTAAACTGGGCATGTAATGCATTGGCGGGAGAGGGGACAGGGAGGCTATTGCTTTCTCGGCCGGAGTTACGAGAGGAGCGCGACCCTCCGGAACGGAGGCGGTCTCGTACGAGGCCAAATACGAGGCACTTAAGCGACGGCCGCGCTGACCTCCGCCGCCGCGTTCCCGACTCCGTTTGTCTCGGTGAGCCATCGCCTTTGACAATTCCCCTAACTTGTTCCGAGAAGCTCCAACGGAGCATTGCTTACTCGCGAGGCTCGCGTCGTTACGTAAGTGGCAGTCCGCTTTTACGACGCTCGTAAATCAATGAGTCGCGACGGACGTCGAATTCTCATTAGTTGCCCGCGCGGCCGTGCGGCGACGATCACGCTTCGCGCCCAAATGTGGCGTCAGGGGGCACTCGTTTGAGGGCGAATCGAAGGAATGTCGGACACCCGACGGTACACGATCCTTCGCGGCCAAAGGCGGCTTTTTCCAACGAGCAATTCCTTTGTGATTAGTGGCTCGGGGCATCGGCTTGCTCTCGCCGCCGCGGGCGAAAGAAAACGTGGGATTGCCACCCCGCGCCTCTCCCAAAGCGAGCTTAGATTTAGTGCCGCGTGGAAATAAACGCTTTCGCCGCGGTGAACAACAAGAATCGTTCGTTACGTTAATGACAGGTTTCTTCGGGCGAATGGGAAACTCTCCCTTCCCTTGCCCGCCTCTTTTTCTCTCTTTCGGTGTATATCGGACAAAAACTCGCGGCCCTTTTCATCGAAATGAAATATCCCCGTGCGCCCGCCGCGTCGGCCGAGTGCCGATGCAATTAATCGCGCTGATGCTGATTAATCCCCAGTAATTTGGTAAACATCGTGGAAGCGACGCGCACTTTCTTCGACCCGCCATTAACCGGATAATCACAAAATCGTCCCCTCCCCTCCGCCCCTCGCACCGGAAACAATGTTTCCGTAGTGAGAGCGACCATAAATCTCGGCCGCGTCTTTCGTTCGCGCGCGCCTCGCAAGTTTTCGCGTCTTATATTTGTCGGGTTCCGAAGGCCTGGCGGCGCGCCCGCTCGATATTTTGTTATGCCATTAATAACCACTGTCTCGCTCCTCGGTAACAGGCTTTCTCAATTAATCTACGTTACGAGTGTGCCGAATGGCGAGGGGGAATGTAAAAGCTCGAAAATTAATATTAATGCGCGGAGCGGAGAAATCCGTGCCGTTCGTAGAACGGGCGAATCGATATTTTACGCGGCGATGTCAATGGCTAATGAAA